ATAAGCAACTAATAAAATCCAACAGGGACTGAAAATATAGCTTAGTGGTAGAGTGCTTACTTTGCATGCTCAAGGCCTGAAGGTCAATCCTCAGCACTGGAAAAAAAAAATCCAACAGAGAATATGTTAAGCACTATGAAGGAATATTATAAAACTTTGAGAAACATTAAAATTAGAATAAAACATTATTTTTTACAGTAAAATTCAATAGTTACTTTTGCTGAAATTAAAATCTCAACATTAAGTTTTATACAAAATAAACCTTGTATTTATTTTTGTAGCTATTTATAAGAAAGTTATGAAACTCTTGAAAAAAGATTGAGGTGGGGGTCTGGGGCTGTAGCTCAGTGCCAGAGCGCTTGCCTAGCATGCGTGTGGCACTGGGTTCAATTGTTAGCACCACATAAAAATAAACAAATAAAATAAAGGCATGCTACAACTACAAAAAAATTTTTTTAAAAGATTGAGGTGGGAAGACTTTCCCTATTAGACATCAAAACTTATTTTAAAGCTACAGTAATTAGGCAATAACCCCCAAAATATATACTTCACATGGTTGGCATTATAAATGAATTGGGAAGGAAAGCCTTTTTAGCAGATGATATTGGAACAATTGGATATAAGAAGGAGGGGATGAAATTGGACCTCTATTCTCACATTTTACACAATATCAATACCAAGTGTACTGAAGACCTAAATGTAAAAGGCAAAATTATAAAAAGTATGAATGTTAATATAAGGGAATATATGATATTGGACTAGAAAATAATTTCTTTGAAAAAACCACAAAGTGCTTATCATTTAAAAAAATTGATAACTTTGGCTATATTATAATTAGAACTTCTGATTATCAAAGGAAGCCAATAAGGAAATGAAAAAAATAAGTAACTAAGTGGGGTATCTATGCAACACGTATAAAGGACACAGGACTGAAGTTAGAACAAGTAACACAAATTAATTTGAAAAGGCACAGAACCCAACATAAAAAAAAATATTCAAATGTCTTGAATACATAATTCAATTATTTCTTCCAAGAAAGAGGAAGTCTTAATGTTCAATAGGCATATGATAGATGCTCACCATTATTAGTAATCAGGGAAATCTAATTATGAGATGCCATTTTACCCGCCACTGCATAGGCAAAAATTAAATCTGTTAATGCCAAGTTTTGGCCAGCAGGTGGAGCAATAGGAATCCTAAACAGATGATAAGGCTGTAAATTAGGACACACCATTAGGAAAAGATAGACATCATCTAGAGAAGTTGAAAGTATCCATGTTCCATAAACCAATAATTCCATTCTTAGGAAAATGAGCTACAAACACCCATGTTTATGCACACATCCAAGAATATTTATTGTAGCTCTGTTTTCTAACAGTCAAAAACTGGAAACAACCAGAATGTCCCTCAAGGTTCAAAGTATATTCATCCAATGGTATACTGCCCAACATTAAAAATGAACCAACTACAGCTATCTGCAACATGAATGAGTCTCACAACAATGTGGAGTGAAAGAAGATATTCACAGTTTCACGTTTACAAAGTACATAAATTTTAAGCATAAGTAAAACAAATTTGTTGTTGGGGCTGGGGATAGAGCTCAGTTGGTAGAGTGTTTGCTTCACATGCACAAGGCCCTTGGTTCAATCCCCAGCACCATAAAAAAATGTTGTTTAAGGATAATAATAAGGAAGGTAAACCTATAGACAAAAGTAAAGAAACAAGTGTCACAAATATGAGAATAGGGGTTACCACTAAGATGGAAGAAGGAATTTATTAGTGGTGGTGTGTAGGAGGTTAGGTGTTCTATTTCTTGTCCTGGATGTTATTACATGGGTGATAGCTTTATGAATATTCTTTTAAATAGCAGTTCTCTTCTGAATGTGTTCTTCCTCCCCCACGTCTCTCTTTCTCCCTCTCTCTCCCCGTCCCCCCTGTCCCTCCCTCTGGAACCAGGGATTAAACCCAGGGACACTGATACTGAGCCACATCTCCAGCCCTTTTTTATTTTTTATTTTGAGAGAAGTTCTCACTAATTTGCTTAGGGTCTCACTAAGTTGCTGAGACAGGCTTTTAACTTGTGATCCTCTTTGTTCAGCCTCCTGAACTGCTGGAATTACAGGTGATCATAACCCCACCCAGCTTAATGCTTTCTCTCTCTCTCTCTCTCTCTCTCTCTCTCTCTCTCTCTCTCTCTCTTAGTTATAAATAGACCTTTATTTTATTTATTGATACGCAGTGGTGAGAATTGAACCCTGTGCCTCATACATGCTAGGCAAGCACTCTGCCATTGAGTCAAAATCCCAGCCCTTAATGCTTCTCTTAATGAAATAGAAAGCAAGATCACCAAGTTGGATATTGGGGGAGGAAGCTTTAAAAGATTTGAAGAAAGGAAGATGGCATAAAAGAAACAGAGACATTGGAAAGTAAATATAATAGGGAAATGAAGTATTCTAATGAAAGTTTTTTCCATTTATTATACTTTTTCTCTCACAAAACGTCATTTTAAAAATATTTTTTAGTTTTTGTTGGACACAATACCTTTATTTTATTTATTTTATGTGGTGCTGAGGATTGAACCCAGGGCCTCAACATGTGCTAGGCACGCGCTCTACTGCTGAGCCCCAGCCCCAGCCCATAACGTCATTTTATTAACTCTAATATACCACATTATAAGTACTTGATCCAAATACTTAAATTATAATGCTACTTAAGGTTTACAAATATTTAAAAAGCAAAATTAACTCTAAATAAACTATATAATTATAATTTTCATAATATATTACATATTATTTTATCTTTAGCTCAGTAAAGCAGATGTACTTTATATTTAGACAAAAATATAGAGAGCTCATACAGGAATTGTACAACGGTGTATTATTCTTTATCTTCCAGTTTTTTATGTCAAGTACCTTTAGTGGTAAACTCTACATTTTATAAATCTTTAAACAGATATAGCATTTACTATCTCCTTATTTTATTGATCTCATCTTAAAAGTAATTTTTTTAAATATCAGAAAATATAATTACATTAAAATAACAAAACCAAATATTAATGACATATGTAATTACTAAAAAAGCCATTATACTCTTAAACTTGACTCAGAAGATTGAAATGGGAAAAGTTGATAGGTCTCTATAATTGTACAGTATTGCCTAAGTATTTATATGAACCAATTTGTAAAAATTATTTAAATTATAACATGCTTTAGTTGCAAATCCATGTTTAATAGTTGCATTTAATTCAAGTTTCAACATACATAATGTAAATGTTGTGAAATTATAAATTCAAACAATTAAGACCACTAATTTAGCTTTAAAATACGTCATGTGAGTTTTCACTTTATATTTTGTAATATCTTTATTTTCTTATTTATTTTTGCAGTGTTGAGGATTGAAGCCAGGTCTTTGTGTATGCTAGGCAATTGCTCTACCACTGAACTACACCCCCAGCTCTATGCCATTATCATAGAGATAAAACAGTCTTTTTTAAAGATTGGAATCTACAACTATTAAATATAGAAATTAATATATGCAGCTCTCAGTTCAGGAAAAAAATACATTGTGCCTGTACAGACAATGCACAATTAAATGATATAGAAAATTTGGTAAAATTTTTAATAATAGGCGAATGTGAGTGAAAAGCATATGGAGATTCTTTATGCTTTATGTTTGCAATGTTTTTATATGTTCAAAATTATTTGTAAAAGAGAAGTTAAAATAATGAAAGGGACATTAACTGACAGTGACATAAGTGGAAATTAACAATGTACTTGGCAATTGGTGCATCTCTTAAATAAAAATGGGGAGTAGTGGCAGTTTATCCCTCTTCTTTTTAGCTTAAAAAATAAAGCCATAGGGGCTGAGGTTGTGGCTTAGTGGTAGAGCGCTTGCTTAGCACATGTGGGGTCCTGGGTTCGATCCTCAGCACCACATAAAAATAAATAAACAAAATAAAGGTATTTGTCCATCTACAACTAAAAAAATATTGAAAAAAACTAAAGCCATAAGTTGTTACAAATTTTTTAAACATTATTTTTCTTCTGAGAGCCTTAAAACATAACTAGCTGCTGTTCTGTTTCCTTACCTTGTACCAACTATGTGTTCTATATCCTTGAATCCACAAGTACAGTCATGCATCCATGACCAGAGGGGATTGGTTCCAGGACTCCCCATGGATACCAAAATCCACAGACACCCAAGTCCCTTATAAAAAAAAATGGCACAGTTGCATATAACTTCCCATCCTATACTTTAAATCATCTCCAGATTATTTGTAATCCCTAATACAAGGTAAATTCTATGTAAATGGTGTTTATACTATATTTAATGAACAGTGGCAAGAAAACAGGCTGTCCATGTTCAGTACAGATGTAATTTCTTTCCAAATATTTTCTATCCATAATTAATTGAATGAAGAATGTGGAACCTGAAGGCAGAGAGGGCCAACAGCATTACTCCAACGCATCCAGTTCTGCAGATGTGGAAGCTCACCTGCAGCCCTTCTGGACATCCATGTCCTATTGACCTCAGTGGCAAATGCTAATACTATATGGTCAATAACTGTGTCTTTAATTTTTATCACATTCAATGGAGAATTGTCATTGCTAGATCTATAATCCAGTTATTTAAAGGACACATTTAGGTCGGCAAGGAAGTGCAAGTGGAGGGCATTATCAAAATATAAAGGAAGAATTACAACACATGCCATCTTGGAAATACTCAAAATTCCACAGTGGAAATGAATGGGATAGCTATGCAATGTGATTGTGTTCTTCTTCAGTTGCTAAAGGGGTCTTAATAAAAAATATGCCATCAACAATACAAACTCAGGGGCTGGGGATATGGCCCACGTGGTAGAGTGCTTGCCTTACATGCACAAGGTTCTGGGTTCAATCCCCGGCACCACCAAAAAAAAACCCAAAAAAACAAAAAAACACAAACTCATCCTTGTGTTCCCATTGAAAGTCATTTATTGTTATAATTATTATCATCATCATTTGTGTTATTATTATTATTATTATCATCATTGTTGAAATCATTATCATTAGCACAAAACTAAATCCACTATTAAAAGAAAACAAAACACACCCCAAAAGGGATGTATCTTGCTGACAATGAGTAAGTAACATTATCTTCATGTACAAGGGACAGCACCCTGAGGATATAGACCATATCACAGCTTGATAATCGATTCAATAATTCACCAACATTATTGAGCACCTAGGCACAATGGAGGATTTAAAAATTCATATACAAGAATCCCTGCTTTCAAGAAGTTTTACAGTCTAGTAGGAGGTATTGAAGAACACCAAGAACACGAAGCCAAATCAGTGACATTATGGAAATAGTGCCACATTGATGTGCTGTTGGAAAGGGGCATCATAAGATACTAATGTCACATTCAGGTAGGGGAAATGGAGAAGACGCTCCATACAGAAGGTGTATCTGAGCTGGGCTTTGAAGAACTAGAAGGATTTTGGCAGACTGGCCAAAAGAAGAACTGCAGGCAAAGAGGGAATAGCATGGGCCAAAGTATGACCATGGGTTAAGTTCATGGCATGTTTGGGAAGGAAACAATAATTCATTTTGGCTGGCTTATGGGGTCCACATAAGTGGGAGCAGTGTGTTAATGTTTAAGTTATAGGGAGACCATATTTTTAATGTCTCTGAATGACAGGACTAAAATTTCTGATCTTTATGTCATAGTAACTATCCACATCAACAAAACACATAATTATTTGTGAAGAGATATGGTGATTTCACTTCCAGATTTCTTAGGGAAACTCAAGTAGTTTCTAGGCCATGTTACCTTGATATCAAAAATGTCCCAGCAGGTAACACCAAGCAACATATTGTATTTTTTTCTATTTTGCATGTAATTAAATCTCATCTTTCAAAGTCTTATATTATTTCCATCAGGAACCAAATTTCTTCACACTTACATTTTTGGCCCCACCAGATCTTGTGGCACCTGATGAGATGAAGCGAACCAAATTTAAGATTTCCAGCCACAGCTGCTACCCTGAAACTAGGCCCTGTAGCCTGAAGAAGGGTTAGTGATTGGGGTAGAGGCAGTGAATGTGACAATCTGAGAAGGTTCATGGAATCTCCATCTTCAATGTCAAGAATAGTTCTTTGAAATTGGAGATCTCAATTTGGTCTGGAGGACACCTGGAGTGGTCCCAGAACTCAGAAAGCCTGAGTCAATTCATCTGCTGAACTGTCTTCTTATTAAGGAATCCCTTAAAAGAATGACATTTAATCTAGGTTACAAGTTATTTAAAGGCCTTCTGGCTCTGAGGCTCCTGAAGCTGTGGATAGACTGGAGGGACTTTCTCTTTCTGACCAAAAGTTCCTGTTGGGCTTTGTCTGTTCCCAACAGGCTAGTAGTTGGGAACTTCTGCAATGACAGATGCTAAAAAATGGCTGCATTAGGTAACCAAGCCAAAGAAGTAAGTTAGATAGGAGCAACCATGGAAGATTGAGAAGAACAAAGATGCCATGGCCACACTTCCTGCAGCTAGTCAGTCTTTCAGCTCTTTCCTGGAGTGAGACTTCCTCTGCAGGAAGTCGTGGATAGCAGTAGTGAGGCCCCACGTCACGCTGGACCTTAGGATAACCAGGGAACCTCCTCGGTAGATCAGGAGTACCTTTCGACCCCGAGTGTCCCACACATCCTGGGCAGAAGCCCACAGGCTTGGCATTCTCTGCCAGCCAATATGGGACTGCATATTGGCAACCAGCACAATCAGAGGATACAGAACTAGACAGGTGATTGTTCCATTGACACTACCAGACACCAGTGCAGGAACCCAATGGGGCAGGCCTTGCTCTGCCAAGCCATCCTGGATAGGATCCTTGAAAGAGAAATAGAGAGCACTCCCCAGGCTATTCCTGACAAGGACAGGCCAGAAACCCCGATAATAGCCCAGTGACAGCCGCCCCCACAGCCCATAAGAGTTGAATTCCTTGAGAATGCTGAAGGTGCTGGGGAAGCGAGCTTGCTTGCGACCATCCTGGAGGACATTTTGAACTCTTTCAAAGGGGCTGAGTGCCACAGCCTCCACCACCCCAGACATGAGTCCTGCAGTCCATCGGTGTCCCAGGGAATGTGGCCCATCAGGGGAAAGAGAGCACAGCAGGCTATCGTAAGTCCCGAATAGCAGAGTCCCTTGCAATGTCTTGGAGAGAAGAGGAGGGTAGATTCCCCTGTAGAAGTACTGAGGACCTTCATGCCAAAGCTGTCTCACAGCCTCTGACACTGCCATAGCATGGATCTGCTGCCGGAATACCACCTTATAGATAGGAAAGGTCAGAAAAGTAGACATAAAGTTGGAAATGGCCCCAAGAGTGTAGGCTTGGGGGTGCCAGTTTTTCTTTGCTGGAGCCTCTGTTCGTGTCCTGTGCTGAAGCTCTTTTCCAGCAGAGTGGTTCTGCTCCCCCATGCTGAAGACAACTGGTTGCAGCTGGAAGAAACTGGCAAAGGTGAGGAGAGTTAGATTGACAATTTAAATATGTTAGTCAGCATTATCATTGCTTGGTTAGAAACGGAGCCCCAAGAAACTCAAGTCTACGTAAATAAGCAACACTTTGGGCCAGTTTCTGAGAAACAGGCATACCCTTAACAAATTAAGAATTCACCAGCCTTAAATTAAAATATAGTTAAGGTTTTTTTTTTCATTTTCTTTTTAGTTGTAGATGGGCACAATACCTTTATTTTATTTATTTATTTATATTTATGTGGTGCTGAGGATTGAACCCAAAGCCTCACACATTAGGCAAGCGCTCTACTACTGCACGACAACCCAAGCCCAAGATAGTTAGTTTTTCATAGTCACATCTAGAATATTTTTTGGACACAGCAAATGCCGCAGTCTGGCTGGGCACAAATCACGAGCCACTGAAGCAGGAACAAACTTTATTTTTAAACTGCAGGAAAACACTTCACACAGCTCCCGGGGAATCCTCCCAAACGCCATGAGGCTTGTCCAGGAACCCCCAGCCGGAAATATCTCTCCCGGAAATCCCTCCTCCTGCACTTCCCCAACCAATGGGAACTCTCGGGGAATCCCCGGAAATCCCCACGAGAACTCCAAAATAGTGCGAGAACTCAAAAGTTGCGGCAGAGGCGGATAGTAATGCCTCGCCTGTCAATCAATACTGTTGGCAAAATGCCAGGGGCCATACAGACTCAGCCGTGGCTCTCAGCAAGCAAATATTCCAATATTTAAAGGATTACAAATTAAAATCATGAAAACTGAAGAGAGAGGGCTCTAAAACCTACTGCATTCAACTTTCACTGAATAAAACTTTGCATTTTATTAACTACTACTAGACTGTTACTATTTTCTTTCCGAAAACATTGTATGTGTGTGTGTAACACTAGGGATTGAACCCAGGGCCTCCTACATGCTAGGTAAAGTGTTCTACCACTAAACTACACTCATTAGGTCCCCTCAAATTTTCTTTAAAAAGGCGTTCAGAGGTGGGGCGAGGTGGTGCGTGCCTGTAATCCCAGCGGCTCGGGAGGCTGAGGCAGGAGGATCATGAATTCAAGGCCAGCCTCAGCAACTTAGCAAGGCCCTAAGCAACTCATTGAGACCCTGTCTCTAAATAAAATACTTTTTAAAAGGGGATGGGATGTAGCTCAGTGGTTAAGCATCCCTGTGTTCAATCCCTAGTACCAAAAAAAAGGTGTTCAAAAGATGTGGTGCAACACTTCCTCTAAAAAAGTTGGTAGTTCCAGGCACAGTGGGGTATGCCTGTAATCCTCAGTAGGCTAAGGTAGAAGGATTGCAATTTCAAAGACAGCCTCAGCAACTTAGAAAGGCCCTAAGCAACTTGGCAAGATATTGTCTCAAAATAAGATATAAAAAAGGGCTGGGGTGGGGTGGCCGTTGTGGCTCAGAGGTAGAGCACTCGCCTAGCACGTGCGAGGGCCCTGGGCTCGATCCTCAATGCCACATAAATATAAAATAAAGATATTGTGTCCACTATAACTAAAAAATAAATATTTTTTTAAAAGGGCCTGGGGATGTGGCTCAATGGTTAAGTGCCTCTGGATTTAATCCCCAGTACCTAAATAAATAAATAAGTAAAAGTTGGTAGTAAATATGGGGAGGGGAGAATTTCTTCACCCCCTATAGATTTCTGCCTAAATTGTAGCTGTCTTAAAGCAATGCATGGTCCCCTCTCCCAGTTGAGAGAAGGAAAAAGCAGCTGCCCCTTGGAGTACAATGACAAGAAGTTCAGCACCTGGCAAATTCCAAGTTTAACATTTAACAAGAGTACCTATGGGGCTGGGGTTGTGGCTCAGTGGCAGAGCACTTGCCTAGCATGTGTGAGGCACTGGGTTCAATCCTCAGCACCACAAGAAAATGAAACAAATAAACTAATGGCATGCTGTCCATCTATAACTACATTTTTTTTTTTAAAAAAGAGGAGTACCTAAATAATAAAGCAGTGTTTCACAACTTTGACACCATTGACATTGTGAGCAGGATATTTATTATCAGTTCTAGTCTTGTGCAAGATAGGACGTTTAGTGGCATGCCTGGCTTCTACTCACTGCATACCAATAAAGACCCACCCAATGTGACAATTGAAAATTTCTCTAGACATGACCCGTAGTCCCCAGGGATACAAAACAGCCCTGGGTTTCAGAATCACAGTTCTAGAAAGAAAAGGTAATGTAAACTATTAAACTGTTAAAAGGTTTGGAAGCAGGTGGAGTATTATGAGAACCAACTTGGGAACGAGGACAATGGTAGAACTTTGGGATCAAAAGGAAATGAGAGAGGCTGTGGTTGTGGCTCAGTGGTAGAGTGCTCACCTAGTACATGTGAGGCACTGGGCTCGATCCTCAGCACCACATAAAAATAAATAAATAAAATAAAAATATTGTGTCCACCTACAATTAAAAAATACTTAAAAAAAATAAATGAGAGCCAGCTATGGTGGTTTATGACTGTGATCCCAGATACTTGGGAAGCTGAGGCAGGAGACTACCTTTGAGCCTATGAGCTGGAAACTAGACTGGGTGATGTAGTAAAAACCTGTTTCAAAAAAATGGTGGGGGTAAGAAGGGAGGGAGGAAGAAAAATGGGGGGGAGGAAGAAAATAAATACAGTAAGCAAAAAGAAATGAATGCTCAGTGCAAACCTGAGGCAGTTTGTCCAGAAGGCACACCGCTGAGAAGGATGGACAGCAGCGGGAGCTGGCCTGCTGTGGAGAGGAAGCATACAATTATCTGGGTAGGGAAGGGGGGGGGCATGATGACCAGGCAGCAGCACTCACCTCCAGATTGACAGGAACAGGAAGCAGGGTAGGATCCTGGGCTGTGGGGGGGAGGGGAAGAGGGTAGGTGCTGGGACTCTAAATAAGTCAGCAGGCTGTGGCTCACTCAGTAGGGACAAAGCAGGTACAGGCTGAGGCCCCAGGGAGGAGATGCCAGGTGCTACTAGAAACCCATGCAGCCTTCCATGAGCTGCCACACCCAGAACTTGCCYTGCACTGCTTCTCCTTCCAGAAGCAGCCCCATCAGCTCTGCTTCTCCCTGGCCTCTTGTCCTGTTCCACCTCTACCCCCACAATCTTACCTTACAACTGCCCCCTCCCCTGGACCCTCTCTCATCTCTTAGTAGAGGGGTGGAGGCTCTGCCTCCTGTGCTCTGCCTATCACCCCCCTCCTGCCCCCAGCATTCCATGTTGGCCTTAAGCCTTAGCCTCCTTGACCCTCAAGGCCAGAAGGAGACTGGCAGGGCCTTTCTGCCTCTGACCCCTTAGCTGAGGTCTGACCAGAGGCGATGGCTTAAAAGGTCCAATCCATGAATTCCTCTGGGGCACCTCTGGGCCTCTGGAAGCCATCTCCCTCTCTGTAGAGCCAAAGGGGACCCCTCCCCCACATGCAGGCAGGAGGCAGCTTCACTCAGGCCCTCAAAGCCACAGGGGCCCCAATACTCTTATAGTTTTATAGCCCTTTATTTTCCCCCCAGCCCCTCCCATATCTACCCACCCATAGTTCATCTATCCCAAATCATTAGAATCATTTCATTACCTGATTTTCCTGCTCACCAATTCTTAATTTTACTTTAGAAATGCCATTGAATGATTTCCCCAGATTTACCATTTATGTTGCCACAATTTATTTCAGAAGCCATGTTGAAAAAAAAAATGCTATCCCTATTATGGCACTTGTTTTCTCTGGAGTTTTAACTTCGAGGTTCCATATAGACTTGTTGCTTTGAAAACCTGCTCTGGAATTTATCCCCCTTTATTCCCTCCCCATCTTCTTCTATTGTGTAAACTTGAAACTCTGAATTTTTATTTTACTAAAAAATGATGCAAAACTGATACTTTCCTTTTTCAATTTGTGTGACATTGACTTTTCCTTAATGTGAGAAATACATACCTTCTTTTTTAAAATATTTTTTAGTTGTTGATGGACTTTCATTTTATTTATTATATGTGGTGCTGAGAATTGAACCCAGTGCCTCACACATGCTAGGTAAGCACTCTTCCACTGAGCTACAACTCCAGCCCTGAAATATGTACCTTCTTTAAAGAGGATATGGAAGACCTGGGTTGAATAATGAAATTAAGTGAAAGAAGACTTTTAGAGAATTTTGTGTTTGATACTCCTCATTTAAAATTATCAGTTTTTCCCCTCCCTTCTCCCTTCATTCACATTAGTCATTAAAATGTGAAGATAAAAATTGCTCTTTCATCCGGTCAGGAGAAACCAGCCTTTGAGTGACCTCGTTTTGCATTATCTCCCTTCTTCTTGATACTATTTTCCCTTGTTTCCATGACACCACTCTCATGGCTTCCCTCTCCCAGATCTTTGGTGCCTAGTTCCTTTGTTGAATCTTCTTTATCTCCCTGACCCTAACACAAGGGCAACAAAAATTAAAATCATAACAACTGTGATTTACTGGAAGTTTATTATGTGCCAGGTACCCCAGGCTAAGCCCTTTAAATGTATTAAGACAGGAATTAGTATTATTTTTCATTTATGGTATGGTTTAAATCTTAAGTGTCCCCCAAAGTCTGATATGCTAAATGTTTGGTCTCTAGCCTGTGGAACTATGGGGAGGTGGTAGAATCTTTAGGATGTGGGGCCTAGTGGTAGAAGTTAGGTCATTGAGAGCATGCCCATTAAGGGCATATTGGGATCCCAGCCCTTTCCTCTCTCTCTCTCTCTCTCTCTTTGCTTTCTGACCAGGATGGGTGAATAAACTTTCCTCCACCATAATATACTGTCTCACCACATACCCAAAAGCAATGGGGCCAAGTTGCCATGGACTGAAACCTCTGAAACTGTGAACCAAAATAAACCTTTCCTTTTGTTTTCTTCAGGCATTTTGAAATAGAAATGAAAAGGTGATGCAATTTCTAATTAACTATTAATTTGATTGCTATTAATTGACACATATTTCAGATAAGGAAAACAGATAGAAAGTTAAGAAACTTACTTAGGGTCATGTAGGTATTTAGTGACGGAGCCAGGGATGAGACACAGGACTGACTGACCCCAAAGCCTGTGTTTTGCTATTTGGGTTTGTTTTCATTGCATAGCACCATGTGTTATTACATGCATATGATGCATGAGGAAACTAAAGATCTGCAGACATAATGAAAGAAATGTCATAGCAACAAGTGCCACAAACAAGGATGGAGTTTTTAAGGAAAACTTTCTTGATAGAGGCTTTTTCTACTTTCTCTTTCTCACCTTATTGCAGCTATCCATCTTGTTACCTGGCAACCATACTCGGCCCACTTCTGAGTTGCATTATTACACTCAGAGTACCAAGTTTCAGGTTTATGCTTTTAGTGCAAATGGTTGTGAATTTAACATATGCAAGAGGAAACAACAGCAGAAGTCAGTGGGAGAGTGATGAATTGTTCATGTAGTGGTGGGGAGAACTTCATTACCCAATTGGAAAAATAAAAAGGTCAATTTATTTTTCCCATGACACTAAATATGAACTCCAGATAAAATTGAGAAATAATGTAGACTTTATATCATTGTATACTAGTTCTTCTTTAATATTACAATGAAGTAATAAGTTCTATTGTTTTGCAACATATTGTTTGACTACAATTCACAATATCCTATTATATATAGTTAATGAAGAACTAGAAGAGAGGAGTTCAAAGACTCCAAACACAAAATTAACATTAATTAGTCCAATTGGTCAATGTACATTATATACATGTAATTAAATGTCACACTGTACCTTAAAAATATGTACATTATGTGTTGATTGAAATTGTAAAAAAAATGTTCCAGGAGATGGGAATGCTAAATAATCCTGTTATCAAGATATACCCCATAAATATGTGCAGTTAAAATAATAAATTCTGAAGATAAAATTTTGCTTGTTATAAAAGGAATGAAAGAATCAAATGCTCAAAAGCAACCCTTTTAAAACTTCAACAAAATATATTTTTATTAAATCTCTGGATTAGACAGCACTTTCTGTGATTAGAAGAAATGATAAAGAGTACAAGGGGGGCCAGGGTCACAGCTCAGTGGTAGAACACTTGCCTAGCATACATGAGGCACTGGGCTCGATTCTCAGCACCACATATAAATAAATAAAAGGTCCATAGACAACTAAAAATATTTTTAAAAGATTTAAAAGAGTACAAAGGGAGGGCTGGGGTTGTAGCTCAGTGGTAGAGTGCTTGCCTAGCACATATGAGGCACTGGGTGTGATCCTCAGCACCACATAAAAATAAACTTAAAAATAAAGGTATTTTAAAAAAAGAAATGACTTTAATAATAGTCTCTAAAAAAAGAGTACAAGGGGAAAGACTGATAATTAGGAAGATAGCATTACTAGAAATGAAATATAAACAGCAAACTGAGAAATGTTGGCAACAAATATGAAAAAGCAGGTGGGGTTAGCAACAAATAAGAAAAAAAATAACAACATCAAACTTGTGCTTAGATAGATAACATTTATTAAGGTCTCATAAAGTCCCAGGCATATTCTGAGAGCTCTACATTGTTTTATACTTCATTTCATTCTCACAATAAACCCTGGGATTGATCCTAGTATCTCCATGTCTTAAAACAGCCGGGTGGGGGGGGGGCATAAAATATAAATAACATTAAAAGGGGAGTGAAGTGCATAAAATGCAAATATAGGGCTTAAAAGTTACATGCAAACCATCACAAAGATCAAGAAATAGAGTGCTTTCAGAAATCCCTGTGGGCTCCTGTCCAATCACAGTCTCTTTCCTCTTCTCTAAAGGAAACTATACTTTTGACAGCTCTGGCTGTTAATTGCTTGCTTTTCTTTATAGCTTTAAATATGGATCCCCAAACACTATCATTTGTTTTGAACTTGCTATAAATAGGATGACAATTATTATATGTTTCTGTATCTGGTTTATTTACCTTCATGTTTTTTTTTTTTTAAAGGACATTTTGTTACTTTTTTCCCTTCAAAAGGAGTTAAACTTTTTTTAAAATTCTTTTTAGTTATATATGACAGAAGTGTCTATTTTGACATTTTTATACAAACATGGAGTATAGCTTATTCTAATTAGGATCCCAATCTTATGGATGTACACAATGTTGAGATTTACTATGGCATATTCATATGTGTACATAGGAAATTTATGATTCATTCTACTGTCTTTCCTTTTCCTATTCCCCCTCCCTTTCCTTCATTCTCCTTTGCCTAATCCACTGAACTTCTCTTCTTCCCCTCCACCTCCCCTTATTGTGTGTTAGCATTTACATATCAGAGAGACCATTTAACCTTTGTTTTTTGGGGGGGGATTGGCTTATTTCACTTAGCATGATAGTCTCCACATCCATCCATTTGCTGGCAAATGTCATAAAATCATTCTTTATGGCTAATATTCCATTGTGCATATAAACCATTTTCTTTGTCTACTCATCTGTTGAAGAGCTCCTAGGCTGGTTCCATGGGTTACCTATTGTGAACTGTGCTGTTATAAACATTAATATGGCTGCATCACTGTAGTATGCTGATTTTAATCCTTTGGATATATACCAAGGAGTGGGATAACAGGGTCAAATGGTGGTTCCATTCCTAGTTTTGTGAGGAATCTCCATACTGCTTTCCAGAGTGGTTACACCAATTTGCAGACCCACCAGCAAATTTTTCCACACATCTTTTTCCATACATTCTCACCAACATTTATTGTTACTGGCATTCTTAATAATTGGGGACTGACTTA